ATAAAGGCAAACAGACAAAAACCCAGACTATGACCCACTTTTTGCACATCGGTGTCTGTGTGTGTGTGTGTGTGTGTGTGTGTGTATGTGTGTGTGTGTGCATGTGAGTGTGTGAGACAATGCCATCTGTAGTTGTGGTGGTGGTGTAATGTTAGCATTAGCTCTGTGGAGGCTAATCCTCTAATCTACCCACTGTGAATCTCCGGATAAGACAACAGTGCCTACTCACTCTGCACCACATTTCTCACCATACACGAGTGACAAAGCAAAACATATTACAAATAGGGAATCATGGAATTTGTGCAAGCCTAGTTTTGGAGGTCTGCTATATACGTACCTATTCTTTGCTATTGCTGTGAAGTTTTACATTTTATTGTTGTTAATACATCCAATCATTTATTCTAGGCGAGCCCTGTCGCAATAACACATTTGGATGAATAATATATTGAGAAAATACGTATGAAAAACATAGAGATGAATTTTATTGAATGTCATTATAACTACAATTTGTCGGTTTATTCTATTAAAAAACTAGTTGTGGAAATAAATTAAATTTAGAAATTAGAATTAAGTCATATTAATCCATAAACATGAATTATTGAACCCTTCACTGCTAAAATGTGATTGTACAGACGATAAGCATATAAATTAATGAACGATAAGTTGTATGCCACATATAGCCATATATAGCATACCATATTATAGCTGACAGAACAGCCTTCTCCGAGGACAGGGACGCATAAACAATCACTAATTAATTAACAATAATGAATGAAATTTTTTTTTTTTTTTTTGACTGACATTGATAGACGTTATTTACTGAAGAACGCTCCCACGTTTATAGTATTTGTCCCGAAAGCAGAGTACTAACATATTTCTATGGGTGCCAGATATAGTAGGCCTATGATGAAACAATAAGGGATTTAACCATTTTAAATGTGTATATTTATGAAGGACCAAAATAGGCTGAAACTTATAAATATGCAGATTAGCATGATGAAAATGACTATATCTAAATATATTTCTGATCATCTTGTTAACCAGATTCCTGTAATTAAGTGATATGTACTTGGGCTGAAACCTGGCCTTCTGTCTTACTGTTCTTTATATCTTTACTGACAGTGGAAAATTAATTGAAGATCATTATATTTGAAAGATTTTACAGGCATGTTTCAAATTAATAAGATCTTTATCATTCTCATCACCTTTTATTGAACAAATCAAAATAGCAGATCTTCAACTTTTAGTTTTACTTTTAGTTTTCCCAGCTCTAACAGGCCTGTAGTTGTTTTTGTTGTCCAGAGGTGTTTTTCCTTGTGAGCGGCCTGAGGACACAGTGACCAAACACTGTGCTGGGCTGCGAACACTGAGCCCTGTCCTGGAATGACTTTTTTATCACTGACTTCATCATCTAGTGAGAGATTTAAAACAGATACAGTATTATAATGTCAAAGAGCTATTGGAGAGTCTATTAATAATGAGCTTGTATTTTAATCTGAATCTGTGCTACAATGAGTTACCTAGTTTTTACGCTCTAATCATATTCGTAATTACTGACTTTACTAACATTTATTCCACAGGCTTCTGAAGTCAACTGAGTCTGACAGGGCAGGAACAGAACAGAAGGCTAGAGACTACAGACAAGACCATGGGTGCCAAAGTCAAGGTCCAGGGGCCAGATCCGGCCCGCAAATGAATTAACTTGGCCCCGGGATGATATTTGATTGGTATCAGAACTGTCCCACACAGAGCCATAAGAAATTATTGGATTATTAATTCAATATTAAGAACATGTGTTCTTTCTTTGAAGGACGTTTGTGTATGTCTGTGAGCCTGTTGAAAAAATATTTCTTGAAATTACTGACAGAAAATATTAATAAGGTACACTTTGTTAGGTTTTGGTTCAATAGGTTTTATGCAACTTTTTAAATATATTTTAATACACATTGAACCAGTCGGCCCTTGGCTTGTTGCAAATTAGGATTTTTGGCCTTTTGATGTATTTGACTTTGACATCCCTGGGCTAGAGGCTGGAGGCTTCAAACTTGATTCTGGTTGAAGTGAAAGTCTGTGGTTAGTTTTAGGGCTGTAACAAATCAATCAATTAATTCTGATAAATAACTGAAACAGTTGTCAACAGTTCTAGTAATTGGCCACGGGTAATCTTTTACAACAACACAGATATTTAAGCACTCTGAGAAGAGGATTTATGACCAACAGAGCTGTAATTACAGCAGAATAAAATTAAAATAATCTGTAAACGTGTACATCAAACATACAACCAATTTTTTTTATAACTCGTTATGTTCTCGAGTTGCATCATTTAGCTTTGTTTTGATCAAATCTATTTGAAAATCCCGATCCTGAGCCAAACAACTATCCAATGACTAATCAGCCAACTAATTTGATCATAAAAATAATATATTAATATAATATAATATATTTTAATATAAATAATAAAATACTAGTTAGTTTCTAGTCCTCACTGATGTTGTGATTTAGGGCTATACGAAAACACTTCAGCCAACCTGACATTGTCAATCACATTGGTTTGACTTTCTCCACTTTATTTAAGAAATGATCCAGAGAGACAAACAATGTGTGTCTGAGTCTACTTATACACCATATTAGTTAGTATTTTGCTTCTTTCAGTAAGCAGGTGTCTCATTTTTCAGTAAAACAAATCCAATCCAAAATGATATCGGTCAATATGAGGAAAGAATTTTTCTGCCTCATCCAGCTCTACTTAATGTGCGTAAAGATAAATGTTACGGTAAGGTAGCTTAAACAATTAGTAGTCACCGAGCGCGGTCATTGTCTTTACTTAATTCAGTTACTAAAAGCTTTACACTGCCTTCTACAAGCAACAAAAGCACGTCGGCTGTTGCATGACAAGTGTGCTGCTGACTCTAGGAGCCAAAGATTAATGTTGAGGCTCCTCCTTCTATCAAACTGTTATATCACCTAAGCCTTGATCAGTCGTGGTGGAGAAATCTGTAAACTACAGGTGTTATAAATAGAAAACATGACAGAAGGAAGTTTCCGGTTTGAGGAGGTGGTCCGGGCTTGTTCGACAGTGGTTGAAACTAGAAAGTCGCTGGTAGGAGAGGCATATGGTTCTGTGGATTAAGATATTACGCAGTGATGCAGGTGACTGAGAAAGCCTCCTCTAATCGCTGATCTGCTAATTGATTACCCAGCCCGCGGCTCTAGGCCTGCACACCGAAATGGCAGCAACTTAAAGCCTTTCAATCCTATTGCACTTTGTCATTCCTCCAATGTGTCCCTCGTAGATGTTCATGAAAGACAAACAAAACCAGGGCTCAAACGACTCATGACATTAATTGAATTGGATGATTACTATAATGCTTTCATTACAATTGTGCTCAATGTACATATGAACTTAAGATGGAGTATCGGACTATATAGGTGAAAAAATCAGTGTAACTATTTCAAAACGGTTTTTCTTTATCATGCCTCAGTCCGATAAATCAGCATTTACAGTGTGTACCAGCTCTCACTTGGCCAATTAGCTCAGTATGCAAAAGATGCACCATTTTGGCAATAAGACTCTTTCTGTTGGGACAAAAACAATGTATTCACAAAACAAAATGGGTTTGTCCAGCTTTAAAAACACTGTTGCAGATCAAGCTCATTTTGGGGCATGTTTATGCGTTGGGCCAACAGGGTTCTGAAGGCAGCAATCAGATTTAGTACAGAAGTTTCTATGTGAAATAATAATGTAGGCTTAATTTATTCTAAATATGAATCATACTTTTCCAAAAATATATATTATAAATGCATTTAACAATATAAAAACATTTAATAAATGGCTGAATTAATCAAATGTAATGATCAATAGAATACTTGATTACTAAGATAAACATTAGCTGTAGTTTAACACATCCCGTGGATCTTTATGTATTACTGGGCTCCATGGATTCTGAACACGAGGGATTAATAACTATATGATAAGGAGGATCATTTTTGAACTATTACACTATTGATCCAATGCTCAGACAATTAATCCAATGCATGTTATGAGCCATAGTCATTTGGGCTGATGTGCTTTACAAGCCAAAGAGAAGATAAAAGTGGACATTTTTCACAAAGTACACAAGACCTACCATATATAGACACTGCTGAGCAAATATTATTCCATGCTTCTCTTGTGATGTCCCTGAACTTTGTTTTGAGTTCTAAGGACACAATTCAGACATTTTGAGTCTGTCCATGCTCAAGTCTTTTTGAGTAGTATAAGCCTTTGTACATCAAATGTGATAAATGTCTAAAATGTTCCGTAGATGTTCACTATTTTTGATTTACAAATTCATATGTCCTTTAATGACATCTTCACGCCTAGTCCAGGGGTAACAGTTGAGCTCTAGTTGACTGGCACAAATAAATTCATTAATGTGCATTGTAAATTTCTCCTTTGTGAGATCAATAAAGCATATCTTATCTTATCTTATTGTCAAATAAATCCATAATATAAATACATGGGAAAAGGGGTCTTCAAAACAGGAAGTTGTAAGGATTACAAGTTGTGGATCTCCCCGAGGTTTCTCACTTTTTTCCCACTGGGTTTTTCTTATGAGTTTTTCCTTGCTGATGCAGGAGGGTCTGTTGGGCAGTTTAGTGTCTAACAAGAAGGACTGTGGTGATGGTCCAGGTCACTTTAACATTCTACAACATGTATGACATTTATCATTTAACATGTGTTCTATATTCTTTATGTGTTTTAACTGTTGATTCTCCGATCTGTGTTGGTGATTCCAATGGTTTTGTTAAGTCCTCTGAGATGACTACTGTTGTGATTTAGGGCTATACAAGAATAAATTGTATTGTATTGTATTGTATTATATTTTTGGTATTTTCTTATTCATCAATTTATTTTAACCTAACATTTACTGCAGATGTTACACATGTTTGCACGTGTGATTGCTACAAGATGAAAGCTGATGGACAGACAGAGTTGTGGTTGGAGGAGAAACACTTACCTGAGGGGAAGTTATTTGGCTGAACCGCGTACAGAAACGCGTGGACCATGTGGAAGAGCAGTCCAATGGCACCTGGCTCATAGTACGCGTGGGTGTCGTACACGGCGGCCGGTACGAACCCAAAGTTTAGCTCTTCGGGCAGGGAAGAGCCTTTCGGTGAGGAGCTTCTCTGGTTCGCCTGGTCCGCCTGCTCCTCGCCATTTGCGGCCCCGGAACAGAGCAACAAGACGAGCCACGGCGTCCACAACATGGCTCCAAACGTCTCACGGAAAGCCGGTAACAAAAGAGGATGTTTAGAAGTGAAATGGATGGGGAGAACCGGGGGGGTGACACCTGTCCGTACTACGGGTAATCCTCCAGGTAGAAGGCTACAAACACAGCCGATCCTAAAGTCCCACGGGCACCATCCAGCAGCGCAAGCTCGGTTTCCTCCGGTTGGAACACATCACTAGAAAGTTACTGTTTTGTTGTACGCCGTGTGTGTGTGTGTGTGCGTGTGTGTGTGTCTGAGAGGACGTGTGTCATCCACTGGAGCTGGAGCCGTGTGTGAGCAGCGCAGCGGGACGAAAGCTCTGGACGCTCTGTGTAATCTGCCGGGCACACACGCTCACGCACACGCACAAAGAACCACACACACTTTCATAAACCCACGCGCGCACACACACACATGTACACATTTTTACACACGCGCGCACACACGTATACACACACAAACACAGACTATGGTGAATATAGACTATAAATATTGGCAGTACAGCTCTAAAAAGCGCCTGCACTGCTGAGCGCGTGCGGAGGATGTCAGTGTCCAATCAGCTGTCACCGCGGTCACTATGGTTACAGATGAAATAAAGCCTACACCACGTGGACAACTTCCGCGTTGCAACTGTATAATGCACGGCTCCTCGTTTTTTAAACCTTTATATATATCACGTCTGCACTTCATCCAAATAAGGAGACACTAAGCAAACGTGTCCTTCCTAATATATCTGTTTCACATTAACGTCAAATTAAAGCCTAGCCAAGTCTGCATGTCCCAAACGAGACACTTATTTTGGCAGACAACTGAAGAGTGGAAGGTAACCATAGAGTTGTTAGAGGCACGAGGTTTACGTTTTATAGATTTTTTGATTCTCCCAATTACACTTAATATTTACAGTTTATTATTTACACACACAAAAGTGGGACACGTTGAAAAACAAGCTATGGCTTTTTGGACAGTAATGCCAAAACAGAATTTTGTGTGCTTTGAATAAAACAATATTCTGTGAAAAAAACAAAATGTTTTGCTCCCCATGAAAAACTTTGGCTCTTGGGGGCGCTACGGTACGGAATTTGAGCATGTTGATACAATGAGAATAAAAAGTTTGCGGCTCAGCAGTTGGTTCAATTTCACTAATTCTTGAATTGGTGAAAGACTAATGCAGGGAAGGCTGGTGCAATGTGTACTGGGTGCAGCTCTGACTGTCACCCCCCCGACCCAGAAATGGATTAAGGGGAAGAAAATGGATGGATGGATGGATGGACGTTAGTAAAAATAGCACATTTTAATTCTTCAATTCGAATTCATGGACTTCAGGTTTGTTACATAGCCTGTTTGTTAGGGGGCACGGCCATAATACTTTTCTCTTTTTTCTCAGTTGAATATTTACAGTCTATGGCACCAAATTTCACCCATAGGCGTTAGACTTTAGTAGGGGCTTCTTTTTGTTGGTCCCGTGAAAAGAAACACACAAAATAAATAATTGGATGGAGTACTTTTCTAGTTCTTATTGATCTGTAAATGTATGCTTTCTGTAAACTCCAGAGATAGATTTCTCCTGTTTGTTTGTATAAAAATGTCTCTTTGGTGGGAAAAAAGATACGCAGAAAGATACACACTATGACTTAATGCAAATAATTATTTTTCCCCATTACTATTGAAGTCTGAAATTGATTAAGATTTGCACAGTTGATTTACAATACTGAAAATTAATCTCTGGCCTATTCTTTTGTTTTCCAACAATTAATTCGTACACACGGTAATTTCACCTAATCTGTATTACAAACAAAGTGACATTAATCTGCAGAAATTTGCTGGTAAAGAAGCACTTCCTGTTAAAGTGAAAAGAGATTGGAAAAACCGTTATAAAAGGATTTTTTATTCTCCCGCTTCAGTGAGCTGCAAAACACACTTAAAAGTAAAGTGTTTAATGTTGATACAGGTGCTTCACTCCATTCATGCACTTCAAACAACCTCAAACACATGGACGTTCGTCAGGTCCGTTATCAAAGTCACAAAATCAGGCAAAGTCAAATCTATATCTGCAAATTAACTAAGTGAGAACATTCAACGGTGTTGCCAGGAATCTGTAATCAAATGCCAAAAGTAAGAGTGAATAAGAATTATTAGTATTTCATTCATTCATTCATTTTCAACCCCTTCGTCCATTTCTGGGTCGGGGGGGGTGGCAATGAGAGCTGCCACCCAACGCTCATAGCACCAGTCCCTCACTGATCCTCTGCAGGGGGTGAGTCCACAGGAAGATGGCTGCTCCATCAGTTGTGATACAGCCTTGATCTTTCAGCAGGGGCTTCAGGCAACGTGGGGTTAAGTGTCTTGCCCAAGGACACAACGACAGCAGTCATCAGTGGGAGCAGTTGGAGTAGGTCCCATGGTGGGATTCGAACTCACGACCTCCAGGCCCAAAGGCCAATGCTCTACCAACTGAGCTACTGTCGCCCCAATTATTAGTATTTGAATACAAAAAAAGCTACAAATAACATTTCAATAATTAGGAATTATTGAAATTCAGTTGCTCAGTTGGTAGAGCATTGGCCTTTGGGCCTGAAGGTCGTGGGTTCGAGCCCACCGTAAGACCTACTTCACGACTCCCACTGATGACTGCTGTCGTTGTGTCCTTGGGCAAGACACTTAACCCTACTTTGCCCATAGCCCCAACTGAAAGATCTCAGCTCCTGTGGACTCACCACCTGAAGGAGGATCAGTGAGGGGCTGGTGCTCTGTGTACTGGGTGCAGCTCTGACTGCCACCCCCCCGACCCAGAAATGGATTAAGGGGAAGAAAATGGATGGATGGATGGAATTATTGAAATTGAGTTATACATGTTAAATGTTGGGTTTAGATCAGAGGTGTCCAAACCCATCCAGAAAGGGCCACTGTGGCTTCAGGTTTTCTATCAGACCCAGCAGGAGCAGCGCAGACTCCACCCATTTCCTCAAGTGAGTTCAGTCTTAACCTGAAGATTTGAGGAAATGGGAGGAGTCTGCTTTGCTCCTGCTGGGTCTGATAGAAAACCCGAAGCCACAGTGGCCCTTTCTGGACGGGTTTGAACACCTCTGGTTTAGATTCTTCTAAATAATTGGTATTTGCATCATCAGTTGAAATGTAAACAATAGAGAGTCTGTTACAGTGGCCCTATTTTATGAAAGAGCATCCTAAAACAGATTTCAATCATGGTTAAAGTAAACTTTGCTGTTTGGTCACTTATACAAAATGTAGAAATAAATTAAAGTAAAACAAAATGCACAAGAATAGACTGATTCAATCAATTCTATGGTAATGGGTTGTTTGCTGACAAATCTGAGACCAAAGCCCTCAATTACATTGTCATATGACCTAAAAAAAGTTTTGAAATGGTCATCATAATTTAGGTGAGGTTGATAATCTATGAGAATGTGTCTCTATGCCAGGTGATCCAGAGCCACCAATTCTCCAGAATCACGTGGCTTAATATTCACCAGAGACAAAAAATAATAACATTCAGAAAATTCACTTCACACAGTCTCACTGGACATTTCTGCCTGCTTGTTCAAACATATTTTGTGTACATAGTTCAGTCCAACATGCTGAGCAGACGAGCTTTCATTGATTTGACTTCATGACAAACAACCAGGCAGTATTTGGTCAGTAATGAATTATTAGCTTACTTGGCAACAGAGGAATATAAAATGGCAACATGGGTAAAGACAATAAAACGTGAATGCACGGCTTACTGAAAAATTACAGCTGCCCTTTAATTAACATCAGTAACTACATCTGCTTTTGGTGATTACTTACAATTGTGTATTCAGTCCTGGAGATATTTTTTTTGAAAAAATATCAGAAAATTACCCAAAAAAGTATTGGAAACAGACATCATTATAAAATTAAAAACTGACTGGTCTACTCGTCACTCCACACTGCTTACTGCACGATTGTGCTTAGGAATCGCATTCTTGCACTAGCTGTCCACAGAGCATGTATATGAGCACAGGTGCATCTATGCGCCCACAGGCCGCCACCGCCGAACGGCTGGAGCACTGCAGCAGAGAACCACCGAAGCCACCAGCACCACACACTGGCTGTACAGGCTCGCAGTGACAGCTTTGTTCCTTGGCTGGTTTTGTCAGAAATAAATAAATAAATATTTCAGGGTCAGGTGCAAAAGTGCAAGTCCAGCCTGACTGCGTGACGCAACAGCGATCCCTGATTCAGACACTAGTCACAGCGCTTAGTCTATTCGGTTGCCACATATGGTAAAGCGGTCGATCTCCAGCAAATCTTTCTTTGGCGTTTTGGGCCTCATGTCATCTCCTAGGCCAGTGTCCGTGTTGATGATTTTGTTCTCGTCGTCTTCATCAGGTGTAGTGAGGAATGTGTCAGAGTTACTTGTAGGGATGATGGGAGTGGAGCTGTTGGCCTGGTGGGGCAGAGGCGGGCTGACAGAAGACAGTTTGATGCCCCCTCGATCTGCTGCAGCTTCTGAGAACAAAAATATACAAGTCAGAACATATCAACCACAAAGTCACTTTGAGACTAAATGAAAAGTACCCTGTTGGGGTAAGGTGTGAGTGAGTTTGACTCTGTGGGCTCTGGAGTTGGCTCGACTGGAGACTGCAGATGGAGGGGGGTCAGAAAGTTTTTCTTCCATATTTGCCGCCTTTACGAACACACAGGAAGTCCCCAGCAGCACAATGCTGTTGAGTACCTTCAGAGTGATCATCCTGTAACAGAGCATGATAAAGATTAGATCTGATCATCACAGATATTTTGGAGCGCCCATGACGTTTTAGTAATGCAAAAACAATTCCTTACAATAATCGGACGCACTAGAAAACCTGTGTTGGTCTTTGGGGAGGAACAAATGCACAACTCCTTTTTTTTTAAACACAATCCACATTTAATTTCTTGATTGTATCTACAATATTTTTGAGATAATCAACATCATCTAATATCTATACCAGTATACAAGATAAAAGTAATTGTACATATATTCTATATGTATTTGGAAGAAGGTCCACGGGCTGCATCAGATTGTTTGGAGCAGAGCTCGGGAGCCAATATGGCTCTTTTGAGGATTGCGTCTGGCTCTAACACAAATCTTAGTAGGCATTAAGCAAGTTTTATACATTGGCTTTCTTCAGTATAAAATATTAAACAAAGGAATCATTTCTGAAATTAATATCTCCCTCTAAATGTGTTTTTTTGTTATCACACATTCACAGTTTAAAAATTTTTTATGAGGCTCCCAAAGACTGAACTTGAACAGGCCTATATAAGAAGACATATTTAACATTGAACAACTCACCACTTGATAAAACAAAACTTTAACAAATTACCTTTAACACTATAAATATCAGAGGCGAGTGATTTATCCAGGGAAAGAAACCTGTGACTTTTTTTAATTCCCTGGCTTTAGATTAAATGCAAGTGTTTGAATTACCCCAAATAGAAGAGAAGAACACACATAAAGGAGAGTGACCCCTGGATCTTCACTGAACTCGTTACCACTCGAATCAACTGAAAGAAAGTATTATTAGTATACAAATATTTTAAAAGTACGCAATGTGATTTACTGTGTTTGAACAGAACTGACCAACAACGCTAAAGGCAGAGGAATGAAGCCCATCCGTCTGGACACAGAGTCACTATAGTCGGTATAGGCCTGTGGACACATTCAAGCTGATCATCTTTCATCCTCAAGGCGACACATACAGCACACTTTGTGTTCCACAATTTTACAAAACTCACATTTTTCTGACGACTGCTCACAAGATCAAAAGCAAGGCTTGCCCGGTATTCACCATAGACCTGGAGGGTGGAAAAACATGATCAGGAATGAGTTTCAAAGCAGATTATAGAGAAATATAAAAACCTTATTTAAAACAGTCCACTGGTCTATGTGGATTAAAAGTCATCAAGTGACTGAAATCTTTGTAAGCAAGGTTTGTGTGATTAGGTTTAACAAGTCAGAGTTAAAGGGGTTAATCCCTTGCTGATCACCTGGTATTCCTTACATAACTACTTGGAAGATCTGAGGTAGAGGTACAGTTTGTACACAAAAGATACAACCATATAATGAATAGTATAGTATTAATATAATATAATAACTATCATGAAGTAGTTTACAACTATATACTGTCATATATTCTGAAGTACCGGTAGTGCATAATCATGCAATTGCCTTCTTCCTTCTTATTGTCAATTGGGCATATATATAGTATAATTGGGTGTGAACATGAGGTTCATTTGAAACATTGTAGTCTACATCAGTCAATTATGGTTAATACTGCTATTGTAATGTCACAAAAATTCCTGCAGACCCCAAAGCCCCTCGAGTCCTCCTAGCACTGCCCAGTTCACCTGCTTGTTTAATCATTAGAATATTATTTAGTCCAATACTTACATCTGCACTGATATCATTGAATTTGGTGATAAAGGCATGCTTAACCACATCTACTGCAACCTCAGAGGCTATCACCATAACCACATCAGGAAACAGCACCCATAAGTGGTCTAAACGCAAACAAAAGCTGAAGTTAGGTTCTATGTACTTTGATACTTTATTGTAAGTAACTAGGGTTAAAAATAATAACTTACCAGGGTTCCATGAGAACTGCTCCATGTTTCTCAGACACACAATGAGCAGGAGGATGTAATTTGTGAACCTCTCTTTTATGTCTACAAAAACAAATCAATCTTGGATTAAGTCACAAAGAGTGCGACTGTCATTTCCTTCTTGAACAATTAGTACGTTTACAAACCATAAGAAAACAGAGCTAATAAAAACATTATGGTATTCAGCATTGCTCCCAAACTGGTCTAACTGCACTGGTCCCAGTCTATAGCGGGTTGCGGATCAGATCACACACAATGGGCCTTTAATTTCCACAGTGCATTTAAAGGTTACACGTTTCATGCTTTTATTGAGATATGTCCAAATACATACATTTTCAAAATAATTTAAATATAATAATTTCTTAAGTGGTTAAATGGAGCAGAAATAGCTTGATCCAGTTAGGTTTTCACTAGTGCTTTGTAAACGTACTCACTGTGAGCATGTCAGCACAATTATTTCATGTTTCACATTGTACTCACCACTATTTGACATTTGAAAAAGGTTGTTCTTCTCAAACTTCTTGAACACACTTCCCTTGATTTCCACAAACTGCAATGGCAACATTAAATCATACACTTTGCGCAAACCACCATATAATAAAATGAACATGTAAAGTTGAATGTACTTACGTTGTTTGACATCATTATGGTCAATAGAGACTTGTTGTGGGAGTTGAAGGCTACGTTGAGTGTGGTAGCTTGAACCATAATGAGGATGGCGTGGAGAACTTCGCAAATGTTAAGGAAAACCGTCTGTTACGTGCATGAATCGAGATTTATACATTAAAATGAATGTTATTTGTAAAGACCAAGATGTGTGTAACTTCTCAATACATTTAAGGACCATGATGTGTATGCATAATCAGAATCATAATAATGCCAAGTCTATACAAATGCTCATGTAAAAGGGTTAACCTCCACTGCATTGAAATTTAAATGGCCTCCTTGTTGCACATATAGAGCATCAAAACTGATTTGAACATGCAGGGGTTTACGCCATCAACGGTGTGATACCATCTCTCAAGGAATGAACAATTAGTGAAGGATACAGACATAGAGCACCGCCATGAAAAAGTGTGGAATGACGCCTATGTGCGCACGCTTCTTTTCTTTTGGCTCTGTGGCGGTCCAGTACAACGCATCCAAAATGTCCTGGCCGAAGGAGGAGAACAGGCGATCTGCAACCTGGCCACATGACAGCGTTAGTGGCAGCTCAAAGCAGAGGTCATTCAACTCTCATTTAAACAATACGCAGGAGACAAAGAGTAGAAAGCAAAAAATATGAACATCTTCACAAGGGAAGTTGCCACAGTTCTGTACCTCCAGCATGTTGTAGATGATGTAGAGCTTGATGACGGACTGGCCCCGTATGAGGTGGTACATCATGGCATAGTCCACGTAACTCATCATGGAGTAACACAACACCATGATGAAGCCTTTGAGCACGTCACACACCTGAGCTGGCTGCAGCAGTCGGGAACCACTGGAAAAACAAAAACTTAAAGTGAGGACTGTCACAAAAATTACCATGTCAGCTCATCCTTCAATAATGGATGATAGAAACAATACATTTTGGGGCTCAATATTTCTCTTTGTCTGTATATTTTCTTCTATTTCTTTTCTTTGTCTGTAATATGGCATTTTCTTTTTGCCATTTTCTGTGTAATACGATTAAGATTTAGTGGCAGAAGATTCCCTTTTATGGCTCAATATTACTTAATTTTGTTTATTTTCTTAGAACGTTTTTTTTCTAAATCCAAGAACTACTTTATTGGGATAGCGCTTCTATATTGTAAATGTTGTTAAAATTTCAGAGATATCTTCCCATATTCAACAGGTAAAATACCAGTACTTCTACTTCAACAAAAATGTTGCTCAACTACATTGAAACAACTGTAAACAGGCTCTTCGAAAAAACATTTCTCAACAATGAATTTACATCCATTGTTATATCAATGTGCATTTCCTTTGGTAGGTCAAAACAATATTTTTAAGTGCTCTAAAGATGTAAAATGAATCATAAATGAAGTAATACTATAAAAATAGTATTTACAAAAAATGAAATGAAGTTTTATCTAGCACCATACCTGAGACCACAGCACGGCACCGTGACGAGCCGTAAAAGGGCCAGAATCACCCTGAGGGGCAGCAGTGTGAACACATAGAGAAAAGCATCCAGACACAGGAAGAAGCCAAACGTCATCAACTGCAAAAACAGCAGGCATTAAACAGACTGACTGAAAATTATAGAATCAACAGGTTGCTGTGGTTACCTTCTCCAGCTCCTTGGGGATACGGAGGCAGGTGTAGACCTTCTCTCGTCGCTCTGTGTATTTGGCCTCATTGTGCTCCAGGAAGTAGCCTCTGGTCAGCTCTGTGGTGATGAACCTCAGCAGTGAAAGGTCTGAACCAGAGAAAAGGCCTGTTAAAAAACTGTTCATCTCGGGGATCCTGGCTTTCCTTAGCATGTTGTAGTTTTGTTACAGCTTCTTTCAAAAAGGACACTATGTCCAAACCACACATATATATTTTAGTAAGAGGCTTGTCACAATCGCATGTTGACGACTACTAGTATATCTGATTTCTACGGGTGAGATTGAAGTACCGGTTGTTAAGAGGTGTAACTAGAGGTCTATTGACTGTCATGCTTTTCCAATCAGATAAAGCTTTAGTTTCCATAAAGGAAGATAATGTACATTACTTGTACTAAGCGTGAATAGATTAAGGCAAACATGGTTTTGAGAAGCACAATCAAGTGGTAATTCATTATCAATGCCAATGTTTTCTTGTGGAACTTATTTTACTTCTACTTAAAATTCACAAGGTCTCCAGCTGAAATAGTAGTGTTAGGGTAAACAGGACAGTTATTCTATTATGAAACATCCTAAAGACTGAAAGATGATATTCCTGATAGAAAACCATTCTGAAGCAGGAGAAAATAGAATGTCCTCTTCTAACCCCAGTCCCAAGTGAGCAAACATTGTGCCAGAGATAAAACATGAAGCCCTACTGGTCCAGGCGGGTCACTTTCTGCCACTATAATGCTAAGTGCTTTTGTGCACAGCATAGGTTTAGGAACGCCATGCTCCCAAAAAAGGTAGAGTAGTAGTAAGCATTTTGTATGTTATGTAACAGTGCACTCGGAAAAAGCTGGAAAGACAAATGCCTTAGTCGGTTCGTTTACAATATGTATTGAAATAAATGTCAGATAAAGTAATAAACAATAAAAGTGTGTGTCAGCTGAACGCTCCGTGTGCAGAGTGGACTTGGACAGGATCCCAGCAGCACGGTGTGCCTGAACACAACAGCACCTGGAGTGTGTGAGGAGACAACTATGAAATCATTTAAGTGTATTATCAAGTGCTGAATCCATAATAAGTAGTGTTGTCATGTCATCATGGCCCTGGACAGTCAAATGAGAGGTAATAAACAGTGTGCAGGGAGGCTAGCTCTGGCTTACCTGAGAGGTTGCCTTTAGCTTTACTGTCCCCAATGTTGTGCGTAAAGCCCAGAGTGTCCGTGAGGCCGTCCTTGGCTGTGGTGGGCTCAGTGCGGGCGTGTGTGCGGCTCCTGAGTCGCTCCTCTTTCTCCTTTTCCCTGTCCTCGCTCAGACCGGAGGACCCGGAGGACAGACCATCCGCCATCATGTCCCTCTGTTGTCGCGACCCACGCTACTGCTCTACGTCATCACGCCTTGCTGCAGTACCCGCCATAGACAGCAGGGGGCGCTACACTCACCACACAGGAATCACTTTGCATAATTTACGAATTTAACAATACTATATAAATGTATTACGTATTTACACTCAACAAACTAGTTTATAACTAGTTTGATGTCACGTCCGAGCTTTCACATCTTATGATTACATCAGTAAGTATGTTTATTATGTATTTCCATGACCTTTAAGGTTATTTATTGTAGTAATGTATCAATTAAAACATGCTCAAATGGTTTTTATATGAATGTCCTGTTTAAAGGCCAATGTGAAGGTTAATTCCACCCTTGGATGAGGAGCAGGCAGTCAGAGGAGAGTGGCTCACAGCAGGGATAGAGTTACCCGGTAAGAGGCCGCGGTGGATTCGGTTTCTTCTCTCCCACATCTCATCAGCACACGCTCCATCTGATGAACAGCTTCCTCAAACAAACCATGCTTTATCTTTGTGTCTAAACTGCAGGTAACTCATGGTGGTGGTGGACCGCACACCGCGGTCGTTACCCGGGCTCGTGTCTCTCCTCTGGGGCCACCATGGGCCCGTAAGATGCCTTCTGTGTGGAAACAGATCGCGTTCTCCACGGCCGCCCTGCTGTGTGTGGGCTCCGTGGTGCTGCTGGTGGTCGCCCTGTCCACGGAGCGCTGGATCACAGGAAACATTCTGTGTAAGACTGGAGTGGAGATAGTCAACGCTTCAAACCCCGAGATGCAACAGTTCATGGGGCACATTTACTTTGGATTATTCCAAGGAGGAAAAACCAAGAACTGTGGTCTTGGGAATAGACGATCCAAGATCTACAGTAAGTCATTTCAAACTATAACTATAGGCTAATCCTTCAATTGTCATTTCTTAAACTGCATCAACAATCCTGAAATTTTGAAATGTAGCCTAAATTTGAAGCTTAAATAGTTTTTTTTGTGTTTGTGTGTTTTATTAATAGGGTAATTGCAATACTAATTTTGAACATTTAAAACTGATTCAAACTTTTATTTATTACATGATAAGCTGTGAGACTGTAACAATCCCCACCAGTCTCTTTTCTGAAAAAGCTCATTAAAACAGTTCCACAAAATATGAAGTTTCTGCATCTTCTCACTGCAGACCTGTTATATACATATACTACTCAACTGAAAATTCTACATGTGTTATGCTTGTGACTTTTTTTATTCTGACTAATCAAACCTACATAACTGCACATATTCAAGACAAAGCTTTGTGTTGGCTTTTCTGTTGGCCAAAGTAAACAACATATCCAGACATGTGATATACAGTGATAGGCTCTGGAGACTATCAAGCCATATCAAAAAAACATTCTAAATACACTGTTGTATTTCAGTATTCCCTAAACTTGTGCGAACGCTTAATGGTGGACTTCACATGATGGTCATCCTCTTCCTCTTGACCGCTATGGGCTTTGCTGTGGTTAGTTTGGCATTCAGTATTTACAACGCACGCAAGGTTCCCTACCAGAGCATCAAGGGCCACAAAGGGCTCTACCTTTGGAACGTCATTGCAGGTAACTAAATGCAACGCACTATAGGGCTGGACAATTTAAAGTCCTGCATAATAAAATGATGTTCTTATCTTCTTAGAAAACATTTTTTTATTTTGGATATATTCTATCACATGTGATTTTTTGTAGTTTGAAAGATACCCAATCTTTGATTAAAACAAGACAGGCCTGAAGCTTGTTCCATTGGCTAATCTCATCGTTATTAATACAAATTTACCCAAACAATTATCTTATGTATCAGTCACTCTCTCTATAATGTGAATGGTAAGTTGTTCAATGTGCATAAAGAGTACTCCTATACTAATTTTTCCTCATAATTTTTGATATATCCTCTCAGGTTTACTTGGGTCACTAGGAGTGCTTTGTTTCATTGCTGCTATGAGACATCACAGTCTGACAGAGCGCGTGGCCAACTATGGGGAGCAGCTCTTCGTCCTGGGGGTGATCTCGGACAGCCTGGACTATTCCTTCTTCCTGGTGGTGGCCAGTATTGGAACTCACATAGCAGCTTGTGGAGTTGTTGCCATGAGCCGAATAAAACCGCCCCCACCGGAGGTAAAGAAGCCTGAAGAGCCCACCATTGCTGCCTTGGATCTTCTATATTAAATCACAGTTGTGAGAAAAATGATTTTGATTGGTGTCTTGATATATTGTTGGTTGATGCCTCAACCAACAATATATCTGTATATTTGGATGGATCCCCCATTATAAGTTCATTTCCACTTTCTGTGGTTGGCTTGTCTCTCATTTGGATTCTGTAAACTATAGGGCTAATAACATGAATCAAAAAATATTTTATTCTAATATCTTTCGAAAGCTGTGCCATTATTCCAAGCCAAGCATGTGATTGCTCTTGGTTATTACATACTATGGCAAGTTTAAATACCAACCTGAAACAAAAACCCATTAACTTCAACAGGGTTTGCTATTTATTTCAATAGTGGTTACAGACTTTAATTTGGGGGAAAAACACATTCTTTCACACAGTTTTGTAAATTATTATTTTAGTGCCTCATCATAAACTCATAAGCCCATAAGATAATTAGAATACATTGTTACCCACTGTTTCACATACATGCATCAGTATGAATACAGTGAGTGAGGTAATAGTGGTGAACGGAGGGGTCCATGGCACAGAATGAAGCCTGACTTCAGTCACCACCAAATGACTTCAGTGTAGCTTTAAGGGACATTCCTTCAAGAAGTATTTTATTTTACAGCACGAGGAACCTGACCAAACTCCAAATATGTTTAATTGTTGTAATTGCCAAATAAACTCCACCGTGAACTCCTGCCTCTGAAATGAACATTTTGACTTTGAGAAAGTATTAAATAATCCAGAAAATAATTGTATGAGCTCAATGCTATTTCTGTTTATATTACATTGTCTGGTTTATTCTGTATGCACACAGAGAGTTACCTATATGCAGATAAGGTTGCATGTTCTATTCCTGGGCCCTGTGTGGAGTTTGCATGTTTATGTCTGGGTGGGTTTTCTCTGGGTGCTCTGGTTTTCCCCATCATGTGGACCATGTGTGAATGTGGTGAGTGAGCCAGAAGCCTGGCTTCAGTCACCACCAAATAACTTATAGGAAGGCTGTAAAGCTGTGCGATGAGTTTCAAAGACTTGGTTGTTTGCACAAATAAGAGAGAGGGAGCTAAAAGAATATTTGTTTTACCCTGAAGGAAATTTAGCTTCAATCCTTATGTATATCTATATAAATGTATTAATTTTTTGTATATTTTGATGAATGCATTTTAGGTGTGGGTTTATTAACCCCTTATAAATAGGCTGGATGCAGATTTGAATGTTTACCAGGATGTTTCGTTAATTATTGCAACAAACATATTTGACTTGTGACTTGATGTTATATTATCTCTACCAAAATCAGTATTCATGCATATATATGCATTTATACACACATACATACAATGTCACTTGTTGTGTACAAGCATCGCCACTAGATGGAGACAAACACTGATCATCAACATTTGTTGTTAGTGACGTATTAAATAGGCGACAGTTATTTTAATTCTCAGCCTCTGGTGCAAAATATTAGGCCTGTGTGGATATCTTGCCGAGCAAATCAGGTAAAGATTGTTAGATTGAGACTGGAGCATTGTGGGCTAGCAGCATATTTGGAAATCATTGGCAAGCATCGTGATGGATTATGTCAGTGTGGTCAACCTGAAACGGTGCCTCATGTGTTATTGTTTTGCGCTTTATACTCAACAGAAAGACAGATTATGTACAAGCAGCTGTCAGATCTTGGTTTAACAGTATTTTCAATAAAATCTATATTCTCCTCGGGAAAGAACATTAATATACACAGTCTATGGAAATAACTCGCGTTTGATCGACAAAGCAGTTATATCCACCAGTGATAACAACCTGAACGGAAGAGGGCAGCATCACAGTTATATAATGTACAGCTGGAAATAAATAAAGAAGAAGAAGACAGTTGCGTACGCGACCTCAAGCCTTGATCTGATCGTTTTCTAATTTATTTTCCTCCTAAACCAAATGACAATGCTTTTATTAAGACGAATTGTGTCGGGGAGGAACTTCTGCAAACGGTTTTCTACTTCTCAAAGCTATTGCAGTGACAGAAAAGTAAGTAAAGTGTGGGGGAAGACATCGCACATGCATTATTATCAATGCATTTGGACTTTTGCTGTTTAACCAAACTGTGTGTTTCCTTCAGGGTCTGGTGCTCGGTGTGTTTGAGAAGGACGGAGATGGCCATCACCTTACAGAGGCAGCAGCAGGATTTGACAAGGGTGTATCAGGGAAGCTTTCAGAGGTCCTTAACATGTAAGTTCTTATAGCTGTTGTCAATTCACTTCTTTAATGCAATTAAGAAAATAAAACGAGGTGCAAAAGTAACATTTATTTATCATATGTATTCATTAATTTACAGACAATTAATTCTGTTCATGCTTTTCATTCAACCCTGGGCGGCACGGTGGCTGAGGTGGCACTCTCGCCTCTCAGCAAGAAGGTCCTGGGTTCGAAAATCGGTCGGACCAGGGCCTTTCTGACCCTAACCCTAACCCTAACCCTTTGGAGTTTGCATGTTCTCCCCGTATCTGCGTAGGTTTCCTCCGGGTACTCCGGTTTCCATTACCATTAAAAACATGCCCAATAGGTCTGGCATGCGCCTCCTGTACTGGCGACCCCGCTCCCATCTCTGTGTGGAGTGAGTGGACAAATGCCCAAAAATAAGAATTGTAAACTGCTTTGTGACTCCGGTCTGTGAAAGGTGGTATATAAATAAAAATGACTTACTTACTTTACACATTGCAATCTGAATTGATTATCTCATTGCTGTAAATGTCACAGCAATGTTCAGTTTTCTTTCACTTTGATTAATAAATACTGTATTTTCTACATAAACAAACAAATGTGTACGTGTGGAAAATGTTGTCCAGGGGCATCACTTTTAGGATTAAAACAACTCCTTGAATTATCAAAAATAAAGATAAATGGTGGTATGGCCTCACAAGTAAGGTTTCACATTTGAATCCTGTTAGTCCAGACCTTTCTGTGTGGAGTTTGCATGTTTTTGCCTGTGCCTGGGAGGGTTTCTTCTGGGCGCTCTGGTCTCCCTCCTCACCCAAAACAAGCAGCTCCAATAGTCCTGACCAAACCAAGCAACAGCATCTAGACGATCCCTGGCATCCTGGCATTGCACTGACCGGTAGTCTAGTGGCTCTGGAAGGTTGGTCAAATGCGGAGGAAAATATCCCTATGGGGACATTAAAGTATGCCTTAAATACACAATATTTTTATTGTAAGTTATAGGTTGGATATAAGGTTTACATAACCCTGCTTTCTACATAAAACATCTGTAGAGCTGCAACTAACAATTATTTTCTAATCGATTAATCTATCGATTATTTTTACGAGTAATCGCTTGGCTGTGAATTGTGACAAAAAAAAATATTTTTTCATCACAAAAAGCTAAAGTGGCAACACTCGAGGACGTATTGAAATGTTTGTAACAGGCTCTTTGTGCTAATTCTGCTATCTGATATTCATGAAATTATAAAAAACAAAGTCGGTTTTAATCAAAAAATACTACATTTTCATGTCATTTTTGCTCTGTTTGAGTCCGTGTGAACCAGAAAACGATTAATCGATTACTAAAATAGTTGTCGACTATTTCAATAATCGATTAGTCGTCGATTAATTGATTAGTTGTTTCAGCCCTAAACATCTGTATTAATTTCTTCATACCATTTTACTTGCTTTAATGTCTAGATCTGGACCTTCACTCAAGAAAGGCAAAAGCAGATTATTCTTTGGATTACACAAGGTAATTTTTGGCATTTATGAACTAGTATGAAATCATTTATGAATAATATCTGTGTCTTGTATTGCAGGACTTTCCATGTGTCGCTGTCGTCGGACTGGGCAAGGCTGACTCCGGTGTTTGTGGAGCAGAGAACTGGGACGCCGGCAAGGAAAGCATCCGAGCAGCAGTATCTAGTGAGTTTTGAGAATATAATGTTATGCTATTTATTTTTACTGTAAATAAAAATACAAGGTGTTAGGATAAAAGTCCTGAATTTGAGATGTATGCAGCCGGTTGCAGGCTACTACAGGACTTGGAGGTAAAACACGTGGAGGTCGATGGCTGCGGAGATGCCCAGTCTGCAGCCGAAGGAGCCGTTCTGGGTTTGTTTAACTATGATCAACTGAAAACTAAAAAGAAGACGCAAGTGACTCCACAGCTTCACGGAAGGTAAAAATGCATGTATAGCAGTTCGGGGCCACATCTCAGTTAACTTGTGTTCGACAAGAGATATTTAGCTTTCATGTATCACTGCTTTTAGTACAGCTTTAAAACTCATTTTTCAGATATGAAAGCACTGATCCCTTTGACTCGGAATCCCTTTTATAGGAAAAAGTAAAAATTAAATGGTTGAAAGATGTTCTATCCTTTTAATGCATCCTTATTACTGTATTTATAACCTAAATGGGAAAAACAAAGCCAACCTACATACAACTTCAATAGTGATTAGTTCTAAAATTGGTAGACTTGTTTTCATTTGTGATCATGTTTTCATTTCATACATAATTAGTGATTGGGTGGCCCTTTTTTTCTTTTTTAGCTTCATCACTTGTGCCAGTATCTGTCTGCAGGTCATAGATGGAGCATCAGAGTTGCTGTTTTTAGCTAATTAATCTCCTCTCAAACAATTGTTTAACTCTGTTGATCTTCATTACAATTATTATTGAGTTCTGAAGGAAACTGCTGTTGAAAATGTGGTGAAAATAACGAAACAAAAAAAACAATTTTAAGACTCTACAGCTGCTATGGAATGTTTCTCCTACTCACAATTCATGTTTTGCATTTGACCCAGCACGCAGCCAAATGTTTTGAGGATGTGCGTGTCTGTGTTCACACTACTTGAGTTGTAAAACATCATTATTATCGTTTTGTAATGTTTATTTCTGTAGTGCTGACTCGAGTGGATGGGCGAAAGGGGTTGTGTACGCTGAAGGTCAGAATCTGGCACGGCTACTCATGGAAGCTCCTGCTAACCACATCACTCCTACAGCGTTTGCAAATATAATCGAAGAGAGAATCTCATCTATTGGACAACGAGTCCTCATTCATAAAAGGTTGGTTTCTCTCCAGCCAATTTGCGTCAACCTGACTTCAAGTTTTAATGCAAACCTGTCTTAACAGGTCAAAGACCTGGATAGAAGAGCAGCAGATGGGGGCTTTTCTGAGCGTTTCTAGAGGTTCTGATGAGGCTCCTCTTTTTTTGGAGCTCCACTACAATGGTTCACCTGACAGCGCAGAACCACCACTGTTATTAGTTGGAAAGGGCATCACTTTTGACAGGTAAACGCAGCAATCATTCACAATACTGTAATTGTTTTTAAATTGACAATTGTTTGTGGCAGTGGTGGCATTTCTCTGAAGCCGTCACAGTCTATGGATGCCATGAGAGCAGATATGGGAGGGGCTGCCACAGTGTGCGCTTCTGTGGTCACGGCTGCAGCTCTTAAACTGCCAGTTAACATAATTGGTAATTAGCTTGGTTTAATTATGCTTAGCTCACAACTTTAAACTGTTCACACTTGTGGTAAAGATTAACATGGTACAATGTGTTTTAGGCCTGGCTCCCTTGTGTGAGAACATGCCTAGTGGAAGGGCTACTAAACCTGGGGATGTGGTGAAAGCCAAAAATGGAAAGACCATTCAGGTAGTACAGTGTGAAGGGTTCTTTTTATTAAAGGTTATGTTGGGACTCAACAGTCGAAAGTGCACATAATTGTGTCTTAAGTGCTACTTTGAAATGCTTTGTTCCAGGTTGACAACACTGATGCAGAAGGTAGACTCGTTCTTGCTGATGCGTTGTGTTATGGACACACTTTCAATCCTAGAGCCATAGTCAATGTAGCAACCCTAACAGGTATCAGAAATATGATCCAATTTTGTCCCAATTTGAATGTTGATTTTACAAATTACATTGAAGAAATGTATATGTATTTTCTTTGGTCTTTAAGGTGCAATGGACGTAGCTCTGGGCTCAGCAGCCACAGGAGTGTTCACTAACTCCGACTGGCTGTGGGGACAGCTTCAGAAGGTAGGTTATAGTTGTGAATACCTCAGGTCTGGTCTCCTGCTGACCACTGCCTCCTGCATGTAGGCCAGTGTTGTGACCGGTGACAGAGTGTGGAGGATGCCGCTGTTCCAACACTATACAAGACAGGTGACTGACAGTCAGCTGGCTGACCTCAACAACGTTGGCAAATACAGCCGGTACGTATATCCTGCTTTCGAAGAATCTCTGTATCTGCTGCCTCTGATGGTTTACCACGTCTCCTTAGATCTGGAGGAGCATGCACAGCTGCAGCCTTTCTGAGGGAGTTTGTAACTCTTCCACACTGGGCTCATCTGGATATTGCCGGAGTGATGAGCAACAAAGATGAGGTTCCATACTTGCGAAAAGGAATGTCTGGCAGACCAACACGTACATTAGTCGAGTTCGCAGCTGGTTTATCAAACAGTGGTTAAAATGTATTTGGTCTTTTTTACAATAAAAAAGTACTTTGATACTTTGTGCATGATTTTATTTTGTTTATTCATTAAGAAAATATTACAAATATATGAACCACATTTATTTACGCCACTACCCGAGTGTGTCAAACATCATAATGAAGATTTATAGTAAAAAACATATACTCAGTCCAATGCAAAAAACAAATTAAGATTCAAGTCTTTGTTGGTAAAAAGCTGCTCCATAATCATTTATAAAGTGATTTTCATACAAATAATTATACAAATTTAGAGTTATAGAGAGGCACAAGAGAACCGTATCCAGCAGTTCAGTCCAGAACAGCAGTTCATGATTGTTGATAAAGAGCTGCTTTAGTCCACCTCCTCCACGGTGGGGCCCTGTGTGCTGCCCTGGGCCTCCTGTCTGCAGCTGCTTGCAGGAGCTGCTCCCTGGTACAGTTTACCGATGATGGGGTTGCACACTTTCTCCAGCTCTTTCTGCTTGTGCTGGTACTCCTCCACCTCAGCCAGCTGGTTGTTGTCCAGCCAGGTCATGACCTCCTCACACTTGTCCAGAAGCTTCTTTCTGTCGTCCTGGTTCAGTTTGCCGCTCACGGCCTCGTCCTGCAGACTGTTCTTCACGGAGAACACAAAGGCCTCCAGAGCGTTCTTGGCACCGACCCTGTTCCTCTGGGCTTCATCCTCAGCTTTGAACTTGTCAGCGTCCTGCACCATCTTCTCGATCTCCTCTTTGCTCAGCCGGCCTTTGTCGTTGGTGATGGTGATCTTGTTCTCTTTGCCGGTGCTTTTGTCCACTGCCGACACGTTCAGGATGCCATTGGCGTCAACGTCGAAGGTGACCTCGATTTGAGGGACCCCTCTGGGGGCAGGGGGGATCCCTGCCAGCTCAAAGCGGCCCAACAGGTTGTTGTCCTTGGTCATGGCGCGCTCTCCTTCGTAGACCTGGATGAGGACCCCGGGCTGGTTGTCGGAGTAGGTGCTGAAGGTCTGCGTCTGCTTGGTGGGGATGGTGGTGTTGCGCTTGATCAGTGCCGTCATGACCCCTCCGGCCGTTTCGAGGCCCAGGGACAGAGGAGCCACGTCCAGTAGCAGCAGATCCTGGACCTTCCCGGAGGTGTCCCCAGAGAGAATGGCCGCCTGGACAGCAGCCCCATACGCCACCGCCTCATCAGGATTGATGCTCTTGTTCAGCTCGCGGCCGTTGAAGAAGTCCTGCAGGAGCTTCTGGACTTTAGGGATCCGGGTGGAGCCACCGACCAGGACCACCTCATGAATCTGTCCTTTGTCCATCTTGGCGTCTCTCAGGGCCTTCTCCACAGGCTCCAGTGTTCCTCTGAACAGGTCTGAGCACAGCTCCTCAAAGCGTGCTCTGGTGATGGAGGTGTAGAAGTCTTGTCCCTCAAACAGAGAGTCGATCTCGATGCTGGCCTGGGAGCTGGAGGACAGGGTCCTCTTGGCCCTCTCACATGCTGTGCGCAGCCTCCTCAGGGCTCTCTTGTTCTGGCTAATGTCCTTCTTGTGTTTCCGCTTGAACTCTTCTACAAAGTGATTGACCATACGGTTGTCAAAGTCCTCTCCTCCCAGGTGGGTGTCTCCAGCTGTGGCCTTCACCTCAAAGATGCCGTCTTCGATGGTTAGGATCGACACGTCGAAGGTGCCTCCCCCCAGGTCAAAGATGAGGATGTTGCGTTCTCCGGAGTGACCTTTGTCCAAACCATATGCGATAGCAGCGGCCGTGGGCTCGTTGATGATTCTCAGAACGTTGAGGCCGGCGATCACTCCTGCGTCTTTAGTGGCTTGTCTCTGGGAGTCATTGAAATAGGCCGGGACTGTGATGACTGCGTTGGACACTGTGTGGCCCAGGTAGGCCTCTGCCACTTCCTTCATCTTCACCAGAACCATGGAGGAGATCTCCTCTGGGCTGAAGGTCTTGTCTTCACCTTTGTACTCCACTCTGATCTTTGGTTTTCCTCCGTCACTCACCACATTGAAGGGCCAGTGCTTCATGTCGGCCTGCACTGTGGGGTCGTCAAACCTGCGTCCGATCAGCCTCTTGGCATCAAACACTGTGTTGTTGGGGTTCAGAGCCACCTGGTTCTTGGCCGCATCTCCAATGAGGCGCTCTGTGTCCGTGAAGGCCACGTAACTGGGGGTGGTCCTGTTGCCCTGGTCATTGGCGATGATTTCCACTTTTCCATGTTGAAAGACCCCCACACAGGAGTATGTGGTGCCCAGGTCAATGCCCACAGCTACTTTGTTTGCAGACATCGTTCTTATATTTCTAGAAAACTGAAAGAAACAAATAAAATCTATTTAAAACATTGTAAATACTAAAATAAAATGAAAGGGGACAGTTTGCAAGGTTTGATTCACTCTTATCTTTTGAATGTGTTGCCAAACATTAGGTAAACATGCACAACATATGATTATGAGATTATAAAAGATCAAAATGCTAATTTGGATGATTCTTTACAAGGAAATAATGGACAGATGGCCACATCATTCATGTATATCTTTGATATTTGTGTTCTCAAGCTGATGATCCAAACAAATAAGTAGAATGCTCGCATCACACTCAATTTGCAAGTAAAGACACTGGCAACAAAGGTTTGGATTCTAATGGACACTATCAATCCATAAAGAGTAAAGCTATATTTCTATATACACAATATCTAACTATGTAGTTGCTTTAAGACGCGGATGCAGCGCGGTCACATACCTGCTCAGATAAATCTCAGGGAGAGCTCTGTCGGAGGGGAGAGAATGGTCCGCTCTTTAGTTCTCTTCTTTGCTCCTCTTCTTTAGATCAGATCTTCTAGTCGTTGCACAAACTGAGCTCTCGTTGTTATTTATACTTTCTCCGCGAGTTCTGGTTATTTCTAGGGACACCCGCCTCCTCTATGATTCTGGCCAATCACAGAGCAGAGCGACAGGCTGTGTGATGACGTAAGAGCTTCTCGGGCTTTCTCGACTCTGCAGGAGCAGAAACGTCCAGAAGACACGAGAAAGCGAACAGAGCGCTCCTGAGGTCACAGAGAAGCAGAAACCTTTTCAAAAGTAGCTCTTTATTCCAGTCTCAATGCATGCATAACGTTCGTAGTCAAATGTGCACATTACAGGGCCAAGGCTTTTACTCCCACAATAATTAAAATGTCACTTCATTCATAATCGTTTTTTGCATTTTATTCTAAACACAGCTATGCCAAATTAAATTAAATAATAAATATTATCATATCAAGGGTTCCAACCATAGACTGTAAATATTAACCCATCTCAAATGTTTTGAAGTAAATCATGTCAGTTTAGAGTTACTATTCCCAAAAAACAATTGAATACATACACGCGCGCGCACGCGCACAGACACACACACACCCACACACATACATGCACACGCATGCACAGGCACACATCAAATAATGATCAAAGAATTTGTTTTTCAAAAAATTCCTCCTTTCCCTTCCTTTGTTTTTTTAGCAGCCCAAGACATATGAGATTTTCCAGCATAAAGAAAATACAAATTATATTCAAAATAGTGACACATCCTACTCTTGTTCTTCATTTGACAAACCAAATGTAATTAACTATACGTGGTATATTAATAATGATGATAATATTAAGAATAATAGTAATCATCTTTTTTAGTTTTTTTTTATCGAGTTTTGTTGCACCCCTTCTGTCTGGGCACAAGTGGTACAACCCTGAGCATAAGAACTGCTGTCCACGCGCTCACTTCACTTTTTTTTCCAACCTTACATCTCTGCAGAAGTGAACCTGCCTACACGATTGACCCCGAAAATGGAGTGGACCGCAATGGAAATCAACCCAGAGGTGAGCAAGACTATAATCCATATGGAAAAAACTCATCAGCATGTACACTGACCTAGTTCTGTGTTTGTTTGTTTTTTTTCCCAGATGCTGAACAAGGTGAGTAGCTAGCAACTAACCGTTAGAAGAGGCAACTCTACTCACCAGTGATGGGTAAAACAGGGACTAAACACGTAAGATGGAAGACGTAGAAGGCTGTTTTCTGACCATTTGCACGTCAACAAGACATTTTGGCCACAGAATTCACATTTCATATTGACTTTCAGACTTGCTATAATGTGTATTTTGCTAGCAAGTTTGACAACGTTAACATGTGTATTGCTTGTCTGGCCGTTGCCTGGCTCCCTGTCTGGACCATGTGTCTGGACCATTGACTACTGGGGTTTTGAGCTCTGGGTGTGGTCAGCTTCGCATCAGCCTATGTTTAAATGCACGTTTGAAATATCCTAGTGATATCTGATAACCTCAGGGAGAAGCGCTATGGATTGATGTTTCATTCTATGGTTCCACGTTGCAGATGATGGTTAAACTGGGCGTGGGCGGAAACTGGCGCTTTGTGGATGTTCTGGGACTGGAGGGAGATCAACTCTCTGCTGTACCCAAACCATGCTGCGCCCTGATGCTGCTTTTCCCCCTCACACAACAGGTAGGCCATGGGTGGACGACATGGCGTAGAGACTGCTGGGTGGGGTGATCTGGGTGTTGTCTCTGGGGTGGGCAGAGGAGCATGCGTTTAATGCTTTCCTTTATTTTGATATGTAGGTGAGACTCTACATTTAGGTCAAATTTAATGACCCCAAGGTTTGTTTTGTGGTTAGTTTTGAGGTCAATTTTGATTCCCACAATCAAGATTTCCATTTATCAAATATTCAATAGAATCACATTCACAACTGAAGTGATTTGCCACAGAACTTTTACTGTTTATGATCCTTATGACAACCATCGATCTCAGTATTGAGTACTATAACTAGTATCAAACCTGGATACCAATCTGAGCAAGAGATAACGATAACTAATGAGCTGTTTCTTGATACACATTGATAAATTATACCAACAAACCTTATGGCCCAATTATTTTAAGTTAAATTACTTTTAATATTTTGGACAATAGAGTATTGGTAATGGAATTGTCGAATCTGAAATGTGTAGACTATCAAGGTTATTGCACTGTGACGCTGGCAGAAACGATTGAGTGGCAACCTGTAAAGCAATGACTGGTTGTGGAAAAGTGCAGATCAAATTTTCTTAAATCTTGTATTCTGAAAATTGTATAGTTAGTTGGATATAATGAAAAATGAAGTTTGTATGCATTGGTGCCAGCATGACTGTTGTGCTGATGTCTCCTTTGTCTCCAGCATGAGTCATTCAGACAGCAGCAGGCAGACAAAGTGGATGCTGGCTCTAAGGTGTACTTCCTGAAGCAGACCGTGGGCAACTCCTGCGGCACAATTGCCCTGCTGCATTCTGTGGCCAACAACAAGGAACAAATGACATTCAGTGAGTTCATAGCAAGGGGAAAGTCTTATTGTGGTAGTCCTACATTTCGAAACCTTTGTCTATTTTCTTTGACAGATGATGACTCTGCTTTAAGGGCCTTTTTGGAGAAGACTGTTGACATGTCTGCTGATGACCGTGCCAAAGAATTTGAGAGCAATGCGGTATTAAGTCAAATTTGAAATTGACTATTTAATGCAAAAAAGTGATGCATGAGTGATAAAGCATTCAAAATGAGTTTTAAAACTTGATGCTGTGTACCCATTTCGCCACTTGGTGGCGACACACACTGCATGTTAAACGTGGATAGAGTTGTAACTTCATGTACAATGATTGCTCAAACTCCTGTGTTGCTGTCATATCCCTGAAATAAAGCTGTTTTGTTTTGACAGGCGATCAAAGAAGCACATAATGATGTTGCAGCGCAAGGAGAATGCAGGGTAAGTTTTTTCACAAATTAAACTTTAGTGGATTAGTCTTTCCTTTTGAAACTTGTTTACTTTCTACAACTGTAGCCTGAAGCTGATAAAGTAAATTTCCACTTTATTGCCTTTGTTAATGTCAGTGGACAACTTTATGAATTTGGTAAGTGTCCGGGGGGAATAATAATCGAAATTTTAAACATGCCTTTATACCCTCTATCTCTACTTTTTACAGATGGGAGGATGAATGGAGCAGTGAACCATGGTCCCACGAAAGAGGACACCTTTGTAACGGTACAATGACATTTTTAGTTTCATTGAGTGTTCTGATTTCAAGAAACATTTTACACAATTGATGTTTTTAGTTGCGTATTTGAATGTAGCACTTTTTTGTTTGCAGGATGCTGCAAAGGTTTGCCGTGGCTTCACGGAGAGGGAAGAGGGTGAAGTGCGGTTCTCTGCTGTGGCCTTGTGTCAAAGTTAAAGCTGACGAGCTGACCTGACGAGCTTGGACGTCCTGACACCTGTACACACGCACTATGCACTCGGCAGGACGTTTGTTCCCAATTGTCCCGCCTCGAACAAAGCATTTTTGAGCACATCATGTGTTCATTGTTCCAGACTTGTGTTCAAGCCTTATGCATTTTTCTGTAGTGTCCAACACTGCCTGTTTGTTACGCACTTTTGTACACCTGCATCTGTGGTTAAAAGATGTAGAAATGCCTTGTGAGCCAAATTGTTAAACATCGACGTGTGGTACAATCCAGATAGTTACTTGAACATTTTGTGGTTTAGGGGTTAATGTTATTTGTGCACCAGAACCAACATGCGCACTACTTTTAACAAAATTATCTTTGTTTACATTGATACAAACTGCTGTGAATTAGCTCTTAACTATCTGTTGCACTGTTGCTCATTTATTGTTGCTGAAATAAATAAAAATGGTTGGTTGCAATGTTAAATGTCTATAGTGTTATTTATGCTAGTATTTAAAGGTAACAAATTGGTAATAATGATCTAATAGTTGGAAACTGGATACCCACTGTCTCCCTCATATCCAGTCCCCTAAACTCCCTCACGGATTCCTCCCTGCGCGTTCACGTGGCGCGCGCTCATGTGTCCTACCCGCGCGGGCGGCAGGAGCAGCCACACAGCCGGACCGGTGGCAGCGGCTGAACGAGCACAGCGACACACGCTCTTCCAACGCTTGCTTCGTGTATATGAGCGGTCTGTCTCCATCTTTCGGAGTTGGCCGGGGGGCGATAGACGTGGACTTTCACCAGTGATCATCAGCGGACACAAGGATAACGGGATCGACTGCGCTCCGCGGGGAGGGCAGTTCTGTATCGCTTCATCGCGCATCCCAGATCTAAGAGTCCAGCACTATAGAGGGCTGGATCGGCCTGTCCCGGGATGGCAAGCCAGGAGAACGGCATCCCGCGGGAAGAGCAGGGGGCATCTGAGCACGGCAGACCCGAGCCAGCCTGCCAGGAGGCTCAGAAATGGATAGAGGTGAGTTCAATGACCGATGAATGGGCACCGTGGGGCCTGCTGCTGTAGAGCGAAATGGGTCAGGAATGCGGGACAAAAATACACCCCACGCAGCACTGGTGCATCGTCACCTGTTGGGGGACCATGCACGCTGGTCTCGGGTTACAGCGAGAGTGTGACAAACGCAAGCCTGTATGTATGAGGGGGTAAAAGTTAGGGATCAGCCATGTTTTCAGTTTCTGCGCTTAAAGAACAAGCACAGTTCAATCTAACTGTGCGCCACTTGTTTTTGTTGACTATTTGAGCACGGGCTTGTTATGTAGGAGCTGTACCGCCCCCTATAGGCTCGTGGGGGCATCGGGTTGCCATGGTTATTGTACCTCTCTACCACCAATCTACTGCAGACTAGATGCTTGTTACATGAGATTGTATTGGACGAGATTATCCGTCCATTGCTTCCTCCATCTGCCAAAGCTTGGATCCTGGTGCTGTTCTCATATGACCTATTTTTTATAGTATCCTTCAGTTCATTGAAGACAGGCCTTTGCAAAGTAAAAAATACAACATGTAGGCCAATGTGTATTGTTTACATGGTGCAAAGGCCAGCCAAGGTCTATAAGTGATTGGGATAGGGATACATATTGTTTATCATCTTTGAAATACTCAAAAGCAATATCATTCCAAAAAAGATGTTCGAAACTCTGAGTCTAGTATGAGCAACAATTCATCCTAAAATAACAATGAAGGTAATCTTTTTTTTCATCTTGTTACACAGAGGCAGTTGACTGAAGGTCTAATACACATTATTACACAACTGTTAAATATTTGCACTTAATCTTTTAATGCAAAAAAGCAAAATGATTATACACAATAATTGGTAAATAATATGTTTTTAATAGTGCCAAGAGTCAGTCTTCTAGTCGTAGCTTGGAGACAATTTATCCAATTCCTGGACCAATCCACAATAAACTGTCACAAAGTTTTGCCTAAGAAAGGGGTCTAATGAGAAATGTTCACATAAAGTGATGTCCAAAAAATGATCATCCACGATCAATATCAAATCATGATCTGGGGAAACATTTGGACACATTTTTTTTAACATTTATTTCAAAAACGCTTCTTTTCCCTAAGTTTTATTGGGACATGCCTTCCAACTAAAATAGAATTTTAGAACGCAACCTATTGTATTGGTTGTGACAGGCCAGGCTAAAATGTAAATGTAATCCACACATGAATCTCACTGAAGTAGTATTGGTTATGGTCCAGAGCATTACATTGTCCTTATGGTAAATCTTATTGCACGCCCCCTGACAGAGAAAAACAGCCATGTCTTCCCTGGACTGAGTGATATCACCTTACATGTTATCAGTTTGTCCTGCCTCGTCATCCTTTTCAATCAACAAGGTTCACCTGAGGCCACGTCAACATTCTGGCTGTGGCGGAGAGAAAACCCCTCCAAATGTCCTCCTTTTAGATTTGCAGACCATTGACATATTGTATCTCCTTTTTCAGAGGTGTCTTTTGAATTAAATATGAAAAGTTAAAGTGTCATTTTTCAGTCTGAGGAACTAGTTTAGCCTCATTAAAATTTAAAAATTTCAGGTTGAGATAACATGGATAAATCCCATCACGGAGCTATTTCACCAGTGAGATTAAACTACTTTTTATTCCTCTGTCATCAAACTTGGTTTTCTTAATTATTCCATGTGACTGACTATATTTGCAAATGAAAAATGGAATCTCAGCCGCTTCAGTTTGCTTCTGTTGCCAATTTTCACATTTTTTTTGTCTCTATCACATCTTTAGATCAGCTTTCAGACTCCAAAGGGAAACAAAAGTGGATTCTCTCAATTAGCTCTCATCTCAAAGCATCAAAAAGTGACTCACTGGGTTCTTTTTGACTATTATGTAAAAGAGACATGGTGTTCACAAAATTGTACTTTTACAAGACTTTCTGTTGGGAAAACCATATGGTGTTTATGATCTGAAATTTGTGTACTCCAGCTTTAATTTATTATTCAGTGATTACTAATGCGAGTTGGGAGGATAAATTTGTCTTTATCTGCCCCTCCTACTTTTCCCAGCGCATCACTTGATTTGTGACGCCGGTTTGTCTCCTAATTCTCTCCAGTTATTTCTAGGCTGGACGTTGGCGTCTATTTCTAGGAGTGTATTTTTACTCCTCACAGTAGGTGGCAATGATTCATGAGCATTACTCAATTCCCTGCAGTGCATTACTGTCTGGGATGGAGTATGCAAAGTAGACTGTAAAAGTCTTTTTTTTTCTCTCTCTCTCTTGACACACCCAGGAATGGTGACACCCGGTCTCCATGGGAACATACTGTGGCTCAGGTGTCTTTTTCCGAGACAGAGACTGAGCAGGCTGAATATTACCAAGAGGAGAGCGGAGACCTAATATTTAAAATCAAATTAAAGTATAATTGTTTTAGAAGGATTGCTTCCTTAAATGAGGTAAATTTAACATGTTACATGGTCTGCCTTTAAATTATTGCAATATAACTCTGATTTATTGTTGCATTTCCAGTGTTCAAACTTTCTGATTCTCCAATCTCAACTACTTCTGAGACGGCTGCTGTGGTGATAAGGGCTACACAATTGATCAGAAATGGCAATGCTACTAAAAGAATAGATCTACAGTAATCTCCTTCAGTCAACTATATTGTTTTTTGTTTCTATTTTCAAAAGCGGAACATAAACGTTAAAGCACATGTAGGTCCAGGATCCGGGACACACAAAACAAATGGAACATGTCTATAACAAAAATTTGACTGTTATTTTCATTACATTGACATTGATGCTACTTTACAAATGAGTGAACGGACAGGTGCAATAGAATTGTTTCCAATTGTGCCAAAATGCCTATGCAATGGTCAAAATAAAAGGTTAAGTTAATTGTTTAGTTGGTTGGGACAGTACATGTTAATGAAGACATCACTCCGGATGGTAGCCTTGTGCTAATTTCCATCTGTTGTTCTTACAAACACTCATTTACCCTGAACTATTGTACATACTGTATTTTTAGTAGTAGGGGAAACCGAAGCACCCGGAGAAAACCTACGCAGACACAAGGAGCACATGTAAACTCCACTCAAAGGCCCTGTTCCGACTGGGATTTGAAACCAGGACCTTCTTGCTGAGAGTGCCCTCCACTCAGCCGTCATGAAGAGCTTTGGGTCTGTACTACTAAACTATAGTTTTATGAAAATGTAATCCAATTATTTAAAGGTAAATAGTAGTGTCTTCATATAGAAATGGCCATGTGTGAGCACTCACACAGAGCAGCAGGCCCCACTGAAACTACATCATGATTCTCTTATCAGATGAAGCTGGATTAGTCGGTGTCAGCGTTGGCACCCTATGCTCTGTGCATTAAACTTGTTGGATGTGACACTGAGCAGGTTAAAGTTACATAAGCCTTTTACAACACACAACTTTGACACAGGCACAGGCCGATTTCCTCTGTCAGACTGTATTAGAATCTAGGGTCCAAAAATATACAGAGCGATCGTATGTGACGGTAAGTATGTGGAGCAGATGTCGCAGGCGGCCAGGGACAGATTATCTGGGGTGCACAGACAGCCAGCTGTGAGGCCATCACAGTCTCTGTGAGAGCCTGGATTGATGGATTCACCACGCATGACAGAAGAATGTGGACGAATGACGACATGAATAGTGACAAGACTTCTGGTGCTGTAGAAAACATGCCTCCGCAGAGACATGGGGGCTCTGTAAATTAGTTCAGGTTGTGTCGTGGTAGACCATTGTCCTTAAAGCATGATGTGACACATTATTCTTTCGACTATTCAGGTCTGACAATCTTGTGTCAATGGTAATGCAGAGATAAGAATTCTGACCACGAAATGCGCTGAAACGACACTTATTGTAAATATTGACTTATAAAGTATAGTCCATTGTACAATTCCACTGGGGACCTCTGCACAGTACAATGATGTTCTATTATAATATTTTGGTTTATGCCTCCAAAGCTTCTGCTGAAGTTAATGTTTGCAACTATACATTGATTATTCCATGTTTGCAACAATACATTGATTATTCCATAATAACATTATAGCCTCAACAGCTCAACAAAGCACATCCATCCATCCATTTTCTACCCCTTAGTCCATTTCTGGGTCAGGGGGGTGGCAATCAGAGATGCCACCCAAGTCACATAGCACCAGCCCCTCACTGATCCCCCTGCAGGTGGTGAGTCCACAGGAGTATGACTGCTCTGTGCCCAGCATAGCCTTGATCTTTCAGGTTAAGTGTCTTGCCCAAGGACACAACAACAGCAGCAGATATCAGTGGGAGTTGGAGGAGTAGTTGTCAAGGTGGGAATTGAACCCACGACCTTCAGGCCTAAAGGCCAATGCTCTACCAACTAATCTACTGTTGCCCAACAAAGCACATATTTAACGTTAATGGCACATGAACCACTAAAGTCAAGAAATATCACTCATTTAAAAGCTTTAAACCTACTGTAAACATTAATTTCAATGTTTTTAGCAAGATTTACAGTTTCCACAGTGCCGCCTATTTTCATTGTAAAAATAAAAGTAGCTATGAATGGAATATATAAACAAATACAAAAAATGCAATCCATTAATCAATAAGAAAAAATACAACCGCTCAATTGCTGTTAAAAGCCAGAGAAGGTGAGACTAAACACCCCACAGAAGGTGCAGTTTGAACGTGGGGAGGGGACAGAGTGTTCCACAGCTCAGGACCAGTCACAGAGAAAGCCCTGTCCCCGCAGGCATGTTGTTGCATTGTCTAAACAAAACTAATTAAATTAACTAAAAATGTCTCCGCCATCGTAGCGTCCCATCACTCAGTACATGACTGAGATCCAGATTAGTCTTTCCCTCAGACAGAAACTACATCTGGATTATCCCTTTATGTTACTAAAGCGTCCATGTGTCCATTCTGACTCTGTTCTGTTCTGTTTTGTTCCGTCGGTATTGTACAGTGTAGCTCATAGTGATTTCATAATGATATTA